TGCTGTAACTGCAATTAGGGGAATTCTTCTTCTAAGTTCTTGATAAAATAGGCATGAACAAAGGTCGTATTTACCCTTTTCAAGATTAGGTAACATACATTCATTCCAGCTTTTTGTGGAATAGTAAATTTTTGGTTGCAAACTTACTAGCAACTTGTCTAACTCGACAGATGGTGGTGCTATCTTCGTCTCCTATAAAGGTAGAGTAGCGGATACAACATGCTTTGGCATGCTCGTAGATTTCTGCTGCAGCCCCTGCCTCCATTGACTTGGAATTGCCAGTATGATTCTTTCGACAGTCGTGAGTATCTGGCCGTTGTCCTGACTTGTACACACTCTCACATATTCGGCAGGTGGTGTTCCTCGTTTCGAAGTGAATAATTTTACCCGTAGCTCGTCCAGCAGCAGTGTCTTGTCCTGCCACCCCATATCGTAGGAGATTGCAAGGAAGGCCATCATTGCGGATACCATGAAATTGGTAAGTTTTTTTGAATACAGGGAAAACTTGGGATGGGGAATACTCTAGCATGCAGAAAACTTATACAAATTTTTCTTTGATTTCTAAGGTGGGCAATTCAGGCTATGGCAAAACCATCACTAAACACTGAAACACACAAACGTGGATTATTGCAGTGATGCAGAGGCCACCCAAAAAGTCAACACCCCACTGTTCCGGAAACTGGATAATATCACAGAAGACACTTACAAAGTAGAGTCTTGTAAGAAAACTATTAAGTTAAACTTAACCATTCAAGTCAGCTTTTTGTGTATCAGTATGCGAAGTTACGCATGCTGCAGTTTTATTATGATTTTTTGGATAAATATTTAGATCGTGCATATTTCCAAATGTGTGAAATGGACACGGATAGTGCGTATATCGCCATCTCAGGGGAAAGTGTAGAAAGTTCAGTGAAACCCGAACTAAGAGTTAAGTTTTATCAAGATAAGTGCAACTGGCTTTTAAGAGCTGATACGCCTGAACAGAAAGCCTATGATAAGAGAAAGCCAGAGTTATTTAAAGTAGAGTGGGAAGGACAAGGAATCATTGGTTTGTGTAGTAAATGTAGTAGTACTGTACTGCAGTACTGTTTTGGGGCGAAAGATAAGTTTTCTTGCAAAGTGGTCAATAAAAAATGTAACGACATTAACAAAGATAAATATGATTCTCATGATCTGATTATTCATTGCTTTTATATGTGTATTTTATATTGTTGTGAAGGCCGTAAGTTAGATTAAGATTTACAATCGTACATTCAAAAACACAAATAAAGTTTCCATCATTCTACTCCGAGCGAGAGGCACATCAACTACATCGCCCTATTGGATCGATCACCATAGTTCAGACAACCATAATAAGCTAAAGATGGCGTCCAACATTCCCATTTCTCTAGTGAGGGCGAAAGCAGATAACTTCCAGCAGGAGAAACAAAAGTCAAGACATTTGTCAAAAGACACCATATCGTTGGAGTAGACCATCAGTGCTCCTCCATTCTCGAAAACGCCTTGTGTTAGACATTGAAACTTTGTCCCGCAGTTTGGGCAAAATTCTTCGGAGGATGTTCCTTCGCCATATTTCTTTTTTAACTGTGTCACAATTGAGGAATGCGAACTTGTAGCTCGATTTAAAGTGGTACGCACACAAAAAGTAACAGAATCCTTATCTTTGAGGTGGGATCTTTTAATGTGGCGTATTAAAAGCATCCGGAGAAGGGATTCCCTTTGGTCACATGAGCAATTATGTTGAAGCTGTAGAAAAACTCGTTTTATTAATCCAGGCCAAGACAGATCTTCAAGTGGGTTTGACGCAAACTTGCCTGATGACTCGCCCTTTCCCTGTTTCGTCCCTCCAGGGTGGCTAACAGCACTAATATACAGTTNAAAACTCGTTTTATTAATCCAGGCCAAGACAGATCTTCAAGTGGGTTTGACGCAAACTTGCCTGATGACTCGCCCTTTCCCTGTTTCGTCCCTCCAGGGTGGCTAACAGCACTAATATACAGTTTGTTGATGACCTCCAAGGTCAAACCTTGAACTGGGAGGAGCTTATGAGAAGTAACACATTTGCTTCAATTTATTCAGCAAATGATATTAACAAGATACGAATGACTGATTGCTGCCCAGCGAAGGCTTTAATTGAAGACCTCCTATCCAGAGAAATTCCACTAAAAGTCTTGCTAAGAGTTCTATTTAAAATTGGCATGAAAAAATGTTCATTTTCAATCCTTGAAAGACAGAAACCCAAACTTTTAACACATGGGCCATCAATGGCAAAGTACTAGGGACAAGGCAGTATAGTTTTTATCTCTAGAAGTGGGTTGGACCCTGCCTCAACAGTTAAAAGTCAAAAAAAGACAGAAAAAAAAGACAAAACATGACAAAGAAAAGACAAGGCATGAAGTTCAAACAAGGGAAATCTTATTTTTCCTGTAGTAATAGACACACCGACTGTTGCTGGTTGTTTATCAGGTGTGTCATCACTGTAGGAAGTATCTGGAGTAGATAAAGAGAGAATGTTGTAGCACTGCCTAGGTGTGTTACTCTACATAGACTCTAAATGTAATATTTTTGGGGATCAAACTTCGGTTTCTCCTTTGACAAAGTCTCAAGTTCTCAGCTTACGTGCCATAGGGAATGTATATAGAACCGTGTCAATGTAGACACTCAAGAGTGACAAACGTCATTTTCCTCTAAACAGCTGATCCGTACACAAGAGAAAAGGACATAGCTTTCAATGGCGGTGTTTATCAACTTGCAATGATTTTCAACAACAATCTTTTTTGTGAACATTTGGCATTACCGAAAAGGGATTAACAATAGTTTTTGTTGTGGCTTTTCTCCAGTTCTGTCCTTGCTCCTTGAAGTATCTTTAGCCTCTCAACCAGCCATGGCAATAAAAGAATTGTTCAAAAGTGTGTCAATGGCCTTTGGCTGTTCCTGGGACAATTCTTCACTACCTCATGTACCTGGCTGATTTAAAATGGTACTCAGGGTGTGTTAGTTGTTCATAAACTTTTAAATGGACGGTCTAGGAAACGTATTAGCGTACAACAGGTCTTTTGAGGGAGGGGGCATTTCAGGTGCAAAACTGGCTAAACTTTTCTAGTTATTTATTTCCCAGATAAAACATTAGTATTGCTTTTTCTTCACTAAATGATACAATAAAATAATATATCTTAAAGTGTGTATAACATGAGTGTAGTGAGTTTTGAAGTTTGTTTGTTACAGTTTGTTAAGAGTATCTCTAATTTATTTATGAGTGCGAATTTATATATAAGGTTAGTTTGTGCTGTTAGAATAGTGCGTTTGCAACCTCGTTAAGTTGCCAAATTTTTGTTCTACCCGTCCCCAAGGAGCGAGCATTCTTCCATCCAAACGCTGGACTGAACCGACAGCGAAGCAGCAGTATGGCGTTTCACTTCATGAACGGGCTCTTAAGAGATGAGCTGAATTGTTACTTCTTGCTTGAACTTGCTCATGAATATCAAATAGAGTCCAATGTTGAGAAGTGCCAGTCGTTTATGTTTTTTATGGTCAAAGAAAAGATAGAGAATGACGTTCTTACGATGCTCATCTACGGGCAAAACTATCACTTTAAAGCTCTTACATCAGCGTGTATAGATGAAGTACGACACTTATCGTTGAAGGAATGAAACAGCAAAAAGAAGAGATCGAGCCAGATAACTACCTGCAGATTGCTGAGGGAATTATTCAGCGACTCGAGACACAATGTAAGGTGAAAGAGGGAGTCTGAAATGTCTGGATCATTTATGTGAAAGCCTTTACAGGCATGCTCGAGCGAAACTACGTAGACCAGCCACGCAAAACACCACTGACGGGTTGTTAGACTGTTTAGTGAACAACACCACTAATGGGTTCTGAGATTGTGTAGTAAGTGACGTTGATAAAAACAGTGGTGACGCGGTTAAAGTTGTTAACTATAAGAGCCTTAAATGTGTCGCCGATGAATTGATAGCTCAAAAGAAAATGTTGGAGAGCTTGCCTTCATTTCAGCTGAAGAAAGGGGCACGAATAAATTTGTTGAATCTCAAAATCGTAGGTAGAAGTGGAATCATTTGAATCTTGATATTCTTAATTCCCATAGTGTTAAGAATGTACACAACGCTCTGTGTAGTGTGTTGGCAAGCTAAAGTTGCTGATCGAAGACCAAACTAAAAGGCTGAATGAAAATAAAAGTTCCCATCAACTTGGAAACCCAGAAGGTGGTAGTCACCCGGATCTGCAGGAATCTGGCGATAAGCGCGGCTTAGGTCTTTTTTAAATACGTGGCAACCACGGCCCTCCGTGTTGACAAAGTCCACCAGGCGATCTATCCCGGGTAAACGGAGTCTGAATGGTTCGTTAAGATAGGAGTCTTTGGCGATACCATCGTTGACAGAGAAACCCTCATAAAAACTTAAATCGTGAACGACTCTGAGTTCGTCGGAGTCACGCTTTAGAACGCACAGAAGTGGTGAGATGACACAATCAGTGTCAAAGGGGTTAGATGTGAAGGGTCCAAAAAATAGAACGATGAACAAGCTCTTTATGGACATAGGATCTGAGGAAAACGTTGTTCTTGGCAGCAGAAGGATGATTAGAAAAAGTAGAGGATGGTAGAGACCCCACGTAATTAATCAGCCCGTCGTAACGAAGAAAATCAGCAATAATTCTATATTGGTAATGTTCGAGGTAAAACTCAAACTTTGCTAAATTGAAGTTAGTCTGGATGGAAATTCATGGCATGCACGGCTCTGACGGCATTCGCCAAAGCAATGGCATTTTCTAGTCAGTGTTTGTCTTCTGATTTAGGCGTGCCGGTGAAAGTGTTAGGAATTGCGAAGCGATGTTTTGCACATTGTAGCATTGCGTGATCTGCATAGCAAACACAGCAACGGTGAATGCCCTTGTATGTCGCTTCTGTCGGTGAGCAGTTACACTTGCCTGTGTAATTCCGCTCTTTGCAGTAGGTATCTTTCTTGCTGTAGCGCGCTTGAGAAGACGTGGTCGGTGCTGAAGGCAGATCGGCGTGGGTGAAGAAGGTTTGTGCCCAATCCTTTATCTGGTCAAATTGTTGGAGAAACAAACGTCCGGCTTCACCTGCTGTATTGATGGAGAAGTGGAAATTCCGTACGCTGTTCCATGAATATGTGGCAGCACGCTCCATGAGCAGTTTGAGGTATGCTAAATAGCGCTGTTGTGCGGACTCTGGCTGACTATTTAAAAATTCGAGAAAGCCACCCAGAAACTCTGAAATCTCAAGGTTGTTGTAGTCTATCTTACCTTTTGCGGAGAAAAGGTGATCATTAGGCAATAAGGAAAGATGTTTGCGCTCTTTTTTGTCTTTAGTCCAGAAATCTTTGAGAGTTGGGACACTGCCACCCTCTGCCAGTACTTCTTGGGTTAGTGGTCTAAAAGGCGTGGAG